TTTTGTTTTAATCAAGAATAGTACCAGCAGATAATTCCTGCCTTTTTGCAAGTGTAAGGTACTGTATACTAGTTGGGTTTAACTTACTGTTTAATTGGCTGTGACATCTTATTAAGGCTTCATTCAATATACGAAATTGAGCTGCTTCGCACAAACAATATCTAAAATGCATCATTATTTTACACATGGTTTTAATCAAGATTATTCTAGATTTGTTGTCTCATAATGGCCAGTTAAAACAAATACACTCAAATACCTTACCTGACGTCACAGTCATTCGCACATTATTGGCAACTTGTATAATCCTTCATAGCTAAAAAATGCATCATTGAAATAAAGAAATATTTTAACTGTTCAACTATTTACCTCATGTATAATCAATACTGAATGTATTGTAGAATTAACTGAGGAGAAAATTCTGCATTTGTAATTACATCTGCAAATGGTTAGCCCCTCTCTGTTGGCTCAGATGACTGAGACCCATTTAAACCAGCTATATATGCTGAACTGGGCATCTCTGCTTAAATATTGTCCATAAATAAATAAATAAATAAAATGGTGGTCCCATCCCTTTGAAAGAAAAATTAATTTTAAATAATTAATTGATTAATGTCAAATAATATCCTCTATATGTTATATGCTATATGTTAAAGCTTATTTATATATAGTAATAGTAATACATGTATGTTTTTATTCTATAAGTTATGTAATGACAGGCAACATGTCCCTAGCACCAGACTTGCGGCAGTTGATAGCCAAGTGTGTGTCAAGTGATCCAGTTACTTATAACGATGTGTTTCTTGGACAGTCTAATGATGGTTACTGTAGATGGATCCAGAATGCTGATAACTGGGGAGGTATGAATTAGGTAGGATATCAATGTTGACAGTTATGATGGTGATGATAATGATTCTGATGATATTACATGGTGGTGACGAAGATACATGGTGATGATGTTATATACTGATCATAATGATGATACTTGGTACTGGTGATAAGGATGGTGATGATGGTGATACATGGTACTAGTGATAAGGATGGTGATGATGATGATACATTGTACTG